AACAACAACAACAACAAAGTTAAATCAACTCTCATTTCATTCTTTTTGTCTGTTTGTGTTCTGAGCTTTTGTTTTTTGATTTATTGTGGATTTTTTGTTTTGCTTTGTTTATCATATTCATGAATTCTTACTTGAGGATATTTATTTATGTACAGAGTATTATGTTAGAATTTTCTTTCGCTTTGTGGCCTTTTTTCTTAAGAATTTTCATCTTTTGCTAACATTTGTTCGTGAGACTCATCCATATTTTCAGAAGTAGTTTGTAGTTTATTTCTTTTGTTGTGATGCAGTGTTTAATCATGTGACTCTAACCCAGTTTATTTTTCTGTTGTCCTGAAGATGCACGTTTGGATTGTTTCCACTTTTTTGGCTATTATCTTTAATGTTGCTGGGAATACAGTTGTACATGTCTTTTGGTGAACACCTTTTGTTTTTAAAATAAAATTTATGCTCCCTTTCATGCAAGTGTTTTCTGCCAGTAAGGAATTCAGCACTTTAAACTCTGCTTCCACCTTCTCAGTGTTTGGTTGTGCATAGAAAACCCGTTACTGATTACGTGTGGATTTTGTTTAATCGGCTTTTGAAAACATCTACTTTCTCTTGCAGATTTGGGAACAGCATAGAACAGTAGTTAACAAGATGCACTTTCGTGAGACCAGCTAGGGTCTGCTTTCCTTTTCTACTACTTGTTGCTACATAACTTCAGGCAGGCTCTTGGCTTCTTAACCCTCCTTGTCTTCATCTATAAATTGCTGTTCTGTGGGTACATGGTGGTTTGTCAGCCTGCAATGATCTTGCCCCAGATTGTCACATGACTTCTCTGCATTATCAGTCTGTTCAAGTGTCACTTCACAGGAACTACCACCCATTGAACTCTAACCCGTTGCCTTGTTTTATATTTCTTCATAGTTCTCTGTAGAACTTAACGTATAAATTTTACTGTGTCATACCAACTGGATTCACATTGCTTATTTATTGATTGATCTGCATGTTCATCTCCTTGACACTTCAGCTAGTGTGCAAGCTCCATGACATCAGGGGTGGTGGTGTCTCATTCGTGGTTATAGACTCAGGGTCGACAGTAGTACCTGGTACAGAAGAGATGCTCAGTAAACTTGTCAGGTTGGGCGGGGCGGGGGCAGGTGGTGTGTAATAGGTGCCTCGTTGGGTTAAGTGGAGATAAATGAGTTCCTGACACACAGTAATGTAAGTGGTGCTGGTGGTGGGTGCTGTTGCCAAACAGACTAAACCACTGTGTGGACATGTTCTTCGTTAGGTTGTTGTAGCTGTTGACACGATGATAGTAGCATCTCAGCTGCTCCACCACTAATTGCGGGCTTGACTGACCTAATGTGTTGCACGGAAATGGTTAATTTATGTATTTATTTTACTAACAGAGACATTAAGCCTGACAATGTCCTTTTGGATGTGAATGGTCATATTCGCCTGGCCGACTTTGGATCATGTTTGAAGATGAATGATGATGGAACTGTATGTATTTTTGTTGGAGATTTTCCATTTGTTTTGGGGCTTTGCTTGCAATAACAAGGGGCTAAAAATTTCCATTTGAAGTACAATTAACAAGCCATGTTTATTAACACGAATTAAAAAGGTGACTCCATTGACTAGACAGCTGACATTTTCTCTTTGGGGATTTTATTTTTAAGGTTAAAAACCTCGTTAGTGCCTTTTTTGTTGACAAAAGTAGTAGGTCTGCCTCCTGACAAGGGAAGTTTCCAGATTTCCTCCCCCTGACCACCTGAGAGCACAGCCCCCAGTGAGTGAGGCAGCGTGGGCGTCCTGTCTCACAGTGTCCTGTCTGGGCTGGACAGGGTGGTTGCAGGCTGTGTGGTGCTTTCTCATTTTGGGGTGGGAGGAGCAGGTGACTTCCTGTCAGTGTTTCTGTGTGTGTCATGGGCCTAGAGGCCGGGCTCCTGGACACTCAGCGTATGACGAGGGCCAGCTGCTGCTCCCACGGAAAAACGTGAGGATGGCTCCCCACTCCATTGGGCCCGTGTCCACCATCAGACTAGCAGTGTGGGCGAGCGGCCTGAGACACGGGCGCCCTAACTCTGCCGAGTCACTAGCAGTTCCCTAGGGATGGGCTCCCTGGTATCTGGGGGCTGTCCACTTCTCTCCTGTGGCAGTGGTCAGGGGTGGTGCTCTTCCCTGTTTGAGAGTACAGAGCCGAAAACCAGACCCACTGCCGTCGAGTCGAATCCGACTCACAGTGACCCCTCCTTGGGTTTTCAAGGTGGCATCACTATGGAAGTAGACTGCCAACCTTCCTTCTCAGGAGTGGCTGGTGGGTTTGAACCACCAATGCCTTAGGCGCTATGCCACCAGAGCTCCTATGTTTGGGAGTGTCTTCTTTAAAATCTGCCCTTATCATAAAGTCTGATGGGAATTACTTCAGCAGGAGTGGTTCCTTATGTTCTTACAAGCAGGTTTCAAGCAGCAGATTTTAAAAGAACCCATAAAAGTAGCATCAGTTGAAAGTGTTTTCAGGGAAGTGACTGTAGCGATTTATTTCTTGCACAAAGCCAGCCTCCCTGGCTATTAAAAGTCTTGATCATGTACTGACTAGATGATACGTTTGTGTGGCCTTCAGAACCAGTCCCAAATGATGTGACCATGGCCATGGTCTGAGCTGGAGTCCCACCTCCTTCCCACCCACCTTTGTTCAACCTTTCTTTCTTCTGCATCACTGTCATCCTGAGTAACATTTGACCTGTGTCATAGTGCTACCCTTCCAGTCATCCTGTTACCCGCAGGGGGCTCTGCAGGCTGGGCCAGGCAGTGTGGATGAGGGACTGGGTTCGGGTGTGGGCAGGGGCTCTGCCGACCCCGTCGACCAAGCACGTGCAGCATCCGTGGCCCAGCTGCTATTCTGTCCATGGCCACCTCTGCCCAGAGGTGTGGAGGCCGAGTTCGGCTTTGGCTTTGGCCAGGCAGGTCCTCTGGGACTGTTGTTGCTGGCTCCTGCCTGGCCCTCCGTCTTGTAGACTCAGAGCCTTGGGGGTGACCCATGCTGTCCACGTGCCCTGGGACCACCCACCAGTTGGGCTGCTCTTAGGCAGCTACCCGACCTCAGGACCTGCTCATGGAAGCTGCTTACCAGGGCTGGAGGCAGAGCTAGGTGTTCAGTGAGGGTGTCTGCTGGGCCCGTGGGTCTTCTGCCACCAAGACTAGAGACACATCTCCTTGGACACCCCAGGCTCTGTGCTTGTGTCCTCATGAGCTCCACTCTCGCTTTACGCTTGTGTCCTCATGAGCTCCACTCTCGCTGTACCAGGGAGGCTCAGTGCCCTCAGTGATAGGGCTTTCTGTCGCAGGGTTGCTACACTCAGGAGCACCTGCAGGGGGCAGCCTGGGAATTGCCCTCCCCTTTCTGGGACCCACTGCACACCTTTGTTGATGTTGGCATTGAGCTCATGGAGGCCACCTCACTCCCACTCTTGACACCACTTCCCCAGCTGGAGCCCTCAGATAAGAACCCCTGACTACACTGGTCTTGACCTCCATTTCCCCATCTTGGAGACGCCTAAGCCCCCAGCTCTGCCTGACCTGCCTTCAGATGTTCCAGTTAGGGGGCCTGAGGGGCTGCTGTGGGTGAGCAGTGTCCTCACCACCGAGATCCTGCCAAACAGGAGACATCTCTGGCCCCCAGAACCTACGTGTCAGTCAGAGCCCGGTGGGTCCCACACAGGCGACAGTCTGGGGAGAGCTGGCTTGGACCATACTTGGAGCAAAGGGCTGGGCCATGCTGCTGCTCACATGAGAGGTTGCTAGTTGGGGACGTGGTGTCATTTGGGCATCAGGAGACGGTGGATGTGGGAAAACCTCACGTGTTCTGGAAATGGTAGTGTTTATACGGCAGGATAATACATTCTGTGCTGCATTTTCAGTTCTTGGGTTTTTAAGTTGTGCTCACTGGCTATATTTATTCCATGATCATTTCATTTCCTGGTGCCTGTTTTAGAGAAGGTAGCTAATACAGAGCTACAGGGGTCTCCCTAAGCCCAGCTTTCTCCCCCAGGTCCAGTCCTCAGTGGCTGTGGGCACGCCCGACTATATCTCCCCGGAGATCCTGCAGGCGATGGAGGACGGCATGGGCAAGTACGGCCCAGAGTGCGACTGGTGGTCCTTGGGGGTCTGCATGTATGAGATGCTCTATGGAGAGACGCCCTTCTATGCCGAGTCACTCGTGGAGACCTACGGAAAGATCATGAACCACGAAGTAAGGCGACGTGTTCCTCTACACTGCCCAGTGCCCAGCCATAGGCCTGGGGCAGAGAGCAGCGAGCCGGCAGGAGGAGGAGGGTTGGGAGACCAGGGCTTGGGTGAGGCTGGCGGTGGTCAGGATGGGGAGTCGGCAGTTCTGGGGAGCTGCAGGGGTGGAATCCACACAAGCTGTGAACGTGGTGGATGTGCCATGAGAGAAAAGGGGTTCCTGCTTTCTGGTTTGGGCATCTGGTGAGGTTCACCGAGCCCAGAATCCCTGGAGGAGGAGGGGGCTTTGGTGGTAGCTAGGGAGTGGGGGGGCCAGGTGGGCAGTTCGATCTGTGGATCTGGGTTTATCAATCAGATACCAGCTCGGACTCTGAACCTGCTCTCCCGGAAGTGGCTGTCACAGACTGGTCGCCTGACTCAGAGCAGAGTCCTCGTCCTTCCCCACCTGCTTTCTGTGCTCTGACTCCTGTTCTCTCTCCTCGCTCTTCCCTGTGGCATTGCCCTCCCTGTCTTTCCTTTTCCCTCTCGTAGTTCCCTTTTGGTCACCTTGCCTTTTCTGTGTTCTCCTTAGTCACGTGCACCATTTTAATGCCATGTCCTCCGTCCTGAGCCTGAGCGGTTCGCCTCCACCCCCGGCACCTGCTTTCCCTGCCTGCTCTGCTCCCCTCCCCGCCCCCAGGGCTGCCCTCCTGCCGATGGCTCATGGAGGGAGCAGACCAACACTAACTAGATGTGGTACTTAGTTTCCACCTGACTTCAAATCAAAGCAAAGGCCATACTTGAAACACTTTCTCATTTATAAATTGATATTTGCGTCTTACAAAAGCCAGTCGATCCAAAGTGCATACGGCAGCTGGTAGAAGTCGCCCTTGCTCACGTCTCAGCTGTCAGTGCTGTTCAGGCTGCAGGATTGGGGCTTGATGGTGGGGGCTCGTGCTCCCCAGCCTCCCACAGGGCCAGTCAGGGGTCAGTGCTGCTGGTCTACTTTTCTAGATGGAAGAGTGAGGCCTCCGGTGGAGGAGCACAGGCTAGGAGGGCTGGGCTCTGCACGCAGGCCCGCGAGGCAAGCTGGGTCTGCGTGTGAGTCGACGGCATCGTGCTGCATAGAGTGCTTGCCGTGGAGTCCGCTGTCGCTCAGGCGACCCCACGTGCGTCAGAGCAGGGCCGTGCTCCGCAGGGTTGTCAGTGGCTGGTCTCCAGACGAGATCCCAGGCCCTTCTGCCCAGAGGCTTGTGGGTGGTCTCAATCCTCCGGTCTCCCAGTTAGCAGCTGAACGTGCTCACCATTTGCTTCACCCTGACACTTCCATACTCCCTGTGGGTAGGTTTGGTGGGCAGTACGTTGTTGACATCTCTGTGTCAGCACACTGCAGCATTCCAGTGGGTATGTGCTTGTGGGTGCGTGCATTCACACATGTGCGCACGCCCGTATCTTTCATTAACAAGTCCCCTTCTGAAAGACATTTAGGTAATTAGCATTTTCCTTGATTAGAACACAGCATTACGCACATGTTCTCTATTTGTATTTCTGTAGAGGACGTTTCTAGGCAGAGAGCTGTCACAGATACTCTGTGCCGTGCACTTACATCCCCCCAGGAGCATGCCGTCACAGGCTTTGTCCCAGATGGTGAACATGTAGTATTGTTCAATTTGCATGCAGTGTGGTAACAAGTCTGCTGTAAATAAACCCAGTCAGCCTAGTAATGTTCTAGTTTACTTTTCTGAAAGTAAACCCTACGAGCTTTGGCTTCCATATGTTGTTGTTGTTGTTGTTGTTGTTGTTGTTATTGTTATGTGCCGTTGAGCTGGACCTGACTCATAACGACCTCTCCTTGGGTTTCCGAGGCAGTATCACTATGGAAGTAGATTGCCCTACCTTCCTTCCGAGGAGTGGCTGGTGGGTTTGAACTGCCAGGCTTCTGGTTGGCAGTCAAATGCCTTAGGCATTATGCTACCGGGGCTCCCGGCTTCCATTTACTTAACTATGAAATAGAGAGTAACTTGCTTTGGAGCTCCCATAAAATCGCAAAACTGGGAACCTGTGTAGGCGGAAACCCGTCAGGAAGGAAAATACAGATATTTCCCACTCAGTAGAGAGCAGCGGGAAAGTGGTGCTGCACCCGTCAAAGGCAGAAAACTCACGAGACCCAGACAAACAAGACAGTCCTGCTGAGCTTTGGCTCTCGCAGGTTTCACTGTGTTCTTTCGACAGTGTCCGTATGTGTCTTAGATGTTTCTGAACGTGTCTCCATCCTTCACTGTGTCCTGCCCCAGGAGCGGTTCCAGTTCCCATCCCACGTCACGGACGTGTCCGAAGAGGCCAGAGACCTCATCCAGAGACTCATCTGCAGCAGGGAGCGCCGGCTCGGGCAGAACGGGATAGAGGATTTCAAGAAGCATGCCTTCTTCGAAGGTCTGAATTGGGAAAACATACGGAACCTAGAAGCTCCTTACATTCCGGATGTCAGCAGCCCCTCCGACACGTCCAACTTTGACGTGGACGACGACGTGCTCAGGAACACTGTGAGTAGAAGCCACGCGGCCTCAGCACTGCTCTTCCAGGATCCGCGTGGCTCAGGGACCTGTGGAAGGTGTTACTTGTCGGGGTGATGTTCTTAGAGCCACGGTGATTTTTTTTTTTTTATATATTTGGCGGCTGTCTAAAGGAAATGTTCCCACCATCTCACCCCTCACTGTGGTCCTAATTGTGCCCCTTTAGAAAAGATGAACCACCAGTGGGAGCAGCATTGTGAGTTCAATGGTGCTTTTGTTTCAGAACTTAGCGGGAACGCTTTTGCTTTTATCTTCATGGCGTTCTGCATGTCGTATACAAGCCCAACTGCAGCCCTGTTGTGGGGCCTGGCTGCCCTCTAACTGTCCACCAGCGCTTGCTCTGTGCCCCACAGAGGAAAGTACGCTCGGCCTTCTGCCGTCTTAACGTTGCTGGTGTCTGCATGTGTGCTGCTTCCCACCTCTGGAGTTCGGGGTGACAGTGACAGTATGCAGATTGAGTCTTTCCACTGACGTTGAGGTCATAGATTTTCCAAATTGGTTTGACTCAGGGCCTCATCTGGTGCTCTGCTTTGGTCTGACCAGGCTGGTGTGGACGGCTGACTTAGGCAAAGCAGTTGGCGCCCTGGACCCAGTAGAATGTTGCTCAAATGTTATAAAATGATTTTGGGCTCATGAGACTCAACCTTTTTAGTATAAACATGTGGCTTGGTTTAGGGGTGGAGAAACTAGGGTTTAACCAAGTGAAAGAAAAACTTCCTCTACTGCTCCTCTGGGTTTATTCTGAAGAAGGATCCTCAAGGTAAAAGCAGAGTTAGGGTAAACTTCTGTAAAACCCTCTAACCCTGGCCTCCCAGTCTCGCCTGTGTTGTAAGCCAGGAACCTGAGCGTTTCTGAACCTCTGCCCTTACATCTGTCCAGGTGACTTGACTTTGCCCACGGTGTTAGTCTCTGCACAAGATTTTGTTGAGTCGTGACTACTGTGGCTTAAAAAATGTCTGCAAATTGCTAAGCTGGGTTGAGTTTGGCTTTATGCCCCTCAGAATCAGTGCATTTACCCTCTGACTGCATCATCCATTCACAGGCAGAGCCAGAAATGGGGAGTGAAAGTCTGTGGGAACTAAGATTATGTGCAGGTGACCCCATGGGGTTAAAGTTCCAAAAAGCCCCAAGTTCTCTTTATTGTAGCGTCTTTTCCTCTCTTTTGCCCCGTTTGTTTGGGCATACTGTTCACTCATGTTACGTGTGTTCTTGTGCAGGAAATACTACCTCCTGGGTCTCATACAGGCTTTTCTGGATTGCACTTGCCATTCATTGGTTTCACGTTCACGACAGAAAGGTAGGCCTGGGCTTGTCCCTCCCCACAGGTGCCTGCTCATGTTGGGGGGTGAGGATCAAGGGCATTGCTGAAAGGAGTCATGGGGTGTGGTTTTGTCCTTTTTAAGAACACACACCTGCTTCTCGCAGGGGACCACCTGTGTCAGAAGACTCTGTAAAGGGCAGGTGGCCAGTGGGCTGCAGCACTTATGGTCTGTCCTATATTATTATTACTCCTTCTCATTCCTTTCTCCTTCTTCTTCCCCTTTGAAAATTAAAAAATGCAGCCATTCTTAGTTTGCAGACTGTACCAGAGCAGGCTCCGGCTGTGGTTTGCCACCTCTGCCTTAGTGGGCATCAGGGTTGGCAGGATTTGTCTGGTATGAAAGGCAGTGACCACAGTAGTCAGTCCCTGGTTCCCAGTCACGCTTGACGGAGCCGTCTCCCCTCAGAGCACTGTGCTTGTTCACCTCAGAACGTTTGCCTCTGCTCAGTAGGTCCCATTGGCAGAGCTGGAGTGCAGTCCGTGGTAGCCATTTTGTCTGTCGGCCTTGACCCCGAATGGGCCTTCTGCAGTGGGCTCTTGGGGCCCAGAAGAGAGAGGGGTTAGGAAGAAAGACCAGTGAAATACAGCAGAGCTCCCCGAGAATTTGCTTCCTGATGTCTGCCAGCCACCGGTGCCTGAGTTGATGAGAATGTCCTCCGGGGGTGGCACTTATGTGTGAGCTTGTAGACTGTCTTTCCTGGTATGAGATGCCAAGGCCAAATGGCACTTGGTACCTGCTGGCCTGCAGGAAACTTTCTAGGATGCAGGAGATGTGTGGACTTTTTGTCCCCAGCACAGAAGCCCTTGACCTTCCCAGTGTCCCCACTCATGGGGATGCCCATCAGGTACCCCAGGGCTCCCTCCCATGCCAGGCCTCCTCACAGTGCTAGAGTAGCAGTGCCCCAGCCTGGCCCAGCTCAGTCATTTCAAGATAAGCGTACACTCATGTGCTCAGCACCGTTAGTAGACACCGTGGGGGACTCAGGACTTTTCTGAAGCCATTATCACATAATGGGTAGAATTAACTCTGAGATGGCATGGAAATTCAGCTGCTTGGCGGGCACATGTTGTGTGCAGCCTGTCGGGTGCGCATGTATCAGCTGGTTGTTGGGGAGTCGCTGGGCTGAGCTTGCCAGGGTGCTGGCATCTGGGGCAGCCATGAAGGTTCCTGAGTCCACAGATGAAGAAGGGGGAGCCCCTTGGAGTTGGAGGAGCTGTGCCCAGATCCCCCAGGTGGCCTGCAGCTTGGAGGCCCCTGAGCACATCTCGCTGCCAAGGGGGCCTCATGTGGTTGCAATTCTGGGAGTAGGTAGGTGATGGGTCAGAAGGGAAGACCCTCCTTGCAGAAATGTCTTCTTTTGACCAGCTGTGAAGGAGTCCCCTCCTCAGGCCCCTTGGCCATCTAGCCGTTTGTAGGAAGGAAACACTGGTCTAATTTTGGCTCCATAAGCAGCACCATCTTTCCACAGGTGGTGGTGGTGGCCAATTTAGAAGGACCAGCTTTTGCCCTGGGGGGCCGTTCCCTGCTCGTGAACTCAGCATGTCGGCAGCAGAGTGATGAGCCGAGCCGTTGCTCTGTCTTGCAGCTCCTTCTCAGACCGCGGCTCCCTGAGGAGCGTGATGCAGTCCAGCACCCTGAGCAAGGACGAGGACGTGCAGCGCGGCCTGGAAAACAGCCTGCAGGTGGAGGCCTACGAGAGGAGGATCCGGAGGCTGGAGCAGGAGAAGCTGGAACTGAGCAGGAAGCTGCAAGGTGGGCGGCCCCGGGCACTGCCAGCCCCGCCCAGCGGCCTGGGCCCACACTCACCCAGCCTCTCTTGCCCCCAGAGTCCACACAGACGGTCCAGTCCCTTCACAGCTCAGCTCGAGCCCTGGGGAACTCCAACCGCGACAAAGAGATCAGGGAGCTAAATGAAGAAATCGGACGTCTGAAGAACAAAATAGCAGGCGAGCAGTGCTTTCGAATCTAGGAGGCAAATCTGAGGATGTTTCTGAGAGTCTTTTTCATCGGGTGGTAAAAGCCTGTGTAGATGGTGGTGTTGCGTCCCCACATTTAAAATACCTGTCTCCACCTTGCCCGTTTCCAGTACATATTAGAATCGACTCCTGACGTCTTGTCCCTGAAACTTGCACAGTCTGCGTTTTCTGTCTCAGTTCCCCTCTTGGCACCTCTGACAGGAAGCTGCTGTGCTGGCTTCTGTCTCCTCTGAACTTTTCAGCACCCACTTTCCAGTATTTTCTGTGCTAGATCTGTTGTGACCTTCTTTATTTTGTGGTTCTGTGGTTATCAAAGCTTCCTAGAGACTTCAGGCGGTTTTTTAACCCATTCCCTGACATGGGCTGGTTCTGCATTTGCTTGCGTCTCCACCTCACACCTGAGTCTGTCACCGTCTATTCATTTCCTGTCTGACCCTCACCACTGTGATTCAGGAACAGCCTTGGACTGAGTGAGTCAGTTATTCCGAGGAGCTTTTACTTCACCCGAGAAGGCCAGGCCTCTTGCCGGGTCACACAGCAGGAGTGAGAGGACGGGCAGTGCAGCCTAGCTCTCAGTCTGAGAAGAGATGCCGGTTGGCATGAGATTGGAGCAAAGCCTCAGGCGTCAGCTTCCGTACGTGCAGAGCACTTTGCTTGTGTGAAGGTCAAAAGAGCTGCTAAACAAGGAAAATGGCTGTGGAACATCACCTAGTGTACTATCAGATAGTGTGAAATATCCTAGAGGTTTGACTGCCCGTGTATGAAGGAACATGGTCTGTTGTCGCCTTTGTCCAGATGCCAGTCGGCTCGAGCGACAGCGTGAGGACACCACGGTCCTCCGACAGGAGCGTGAGGACTCTGCGCAGCGGCTGAAGGGGCTGGAGAAGCAGTGCCGTGTGGCGCGCCAGGAGAAGGAGGACTTCCACAAGGTACCCAGGACCACTGTGCCAGAGGGGCTCGGGGAGGTCGCACAGTTTACAAGGTTAAGTTCATGGCCACATTGAAAACCCTTCTCCCAGATGCAGCTTGCCCCAGGCCTCCACCCCGCCTACAGAGTAGGCGGCATTTCCTCATCTTGAAAGAGAGGGAGGTCAGAGAGCCCCAGGGTGTCCTTCCCCTCCCGGCATGGCGTCCGTAGCACCTGACCTGTCCTCACCACCCCACTGCCCACATTGCCCTTCGTCTCAGAAGAAGGGTGGCAGGGAAGATTTGGTAGCTGCTGCTTGAAAAAGTTGATTTTCAGTAAATGCGTCAGACTGTGTCCTCAGATGCTTACTAACACCACACTTAGGATCATGTTTTCTAAACGCATTAATTTATGCACTTGCATAGTTAAGCCTATTGTTTGTGATTTATTTCCTGAAATGGACACGGTTGCAAAGGCAGTTTGTCTTTTAAGCTTACCACCAGCAGTGATACGTCAGGGGGTCTTGGGTGGGGACGGGTGGGATCCCCACTCTGGTGCCATCACCCAGCTTGCCCGGAGCAGGCCTGGAGGTCCTGGTGGAGGTTAGTCCCCGGCCCTCCCCAGGGGACCTGCCCAGTCCCCACCCGGTCAGGTTTCCATCCAGCCTCAGCAGCAGGTGTTGAAGGGAGGGGCCAGCAGGCCGCTGGCCAGGTGGGCTACAGGGAGATCAGGCTTGTTGGTGCCACCATTGGCAAGCCCGAGTTGTGGTTCCACCCTGAGGACCAACTGCATTCCTCCCTTAAGCCCTGGGGAAGAATCGGCCAGCCAGTGATTCTTTTCGCACATGGTTTTTACTTTCTGATTGAAATCTTAAGCATTTTCACGTATCATGTGTCCTTTTCTGATCCTAGTTGACTTGAAGTCACTAGACTGAGTGCCTATGTTCATGGTCATTCTCTCCAAGACTATGTTGATGGCACAGGGAGAGCTTTAAGTTGTTGCCTGCTGTGGGGGCTGCTCCCATGTGTTAGGAAGGGTCTTCCCTGGTGCCTGATGGTGCTCAGCAGATAGACCTTCTGGCTGCCTGTGTGGCTTGCTGGAGCAAAGCACAGGGGCTTTGCTGAGATTGTGAATGCCTGGCTGTGTGGCTGTGACCTGTAACCAGCAGGGAGACTAAACTTGAACCTGCCATGTCTTTGTTGAGCAAATGTCAAGTGTATACAATTCGTTTTTTTCAGCAACTGGTAGAAGCTTCAGAGCGACTGAAGTCCCAGGCCAAGGAGCTCAAAGATGCCCACCAGCAGCGGAAGCTGGCGCTGCAGGAGTTCTCGGAGCTCAACGACCGCATGGCCGAGCTCCGCTCCCAGAAGCAGAAGGTTTCCCGGCAGCTTCGCGACAAGGAGGAGGAGATGGAGGTGGCCATGCAGAAAATCGACGCGCTGCGGCAGGAGATGCGCAGAGCCGAGAAGTCCAGAAAAGAGGTAGCTTCCCTGACGCGTCGGGGCCACGTTGGCGGGACTCTCACGTGGCCTTGGTGGAACATCTGTGAAGCCACCTTTGAAAA